TCTTTTTATTCCTCTACTTCTTCTGGATTCTGGATCTCCTTTTGCATTTCCTCTTCATTTGTCAATGTGATTGCAAAAGTTTTCTGTCTAGGATCACATTCTAGTTGAGAAGGAGGTTTTTCTGAATCCCTTGCTTCAAGCCTACTCACGACTCCGGCTATTTGACTCATTTGTGTTTCCAAGTTCAAAATGCTAGACTTGATCTAATTTTGGAATTGCACCATGTTTTGTTGCATGGCGGTCACACTGTTAGTAAGAGTCCGAACCATGTCCTCCGTGGACATATTAGAGTTGGAGAATGGATCATACCTCATGTGAGGTACATCATCAATTTGTGCAAGGTATTCTTCTTGGAGCTTTGGGCAGAAGTCCGTAAGATGCCTGTGAGACATGCAAATGTTGCATGTCTTGGCATCTCGAGCTTTTGAGTTAAAGATAGATTCCTTTATTAGAGAAGTCAAGAAGGAAATTTGACTCTCTAAGGATGAAGTGTTGGTATCCATATACTCATAACTCATGTAAGTTCAGAAAATAGAAGAGCATGATTTTATTTATATATATATATATATATATATATATATATATATATATATATATATATATATATATATATATGAGATAAAATAAAAATAAAAGTAATTGCCTTTCCCCGGCAATGGCGCCAAATTTGACGATCACTTTGTCACGGTGCGTCAAAATAAATTCAATACTAGCACTTATACGTAGTATAGGCGAAGTAGAGTTCGTATCCACATGGAAAGGAATGTTTCTCTTTTTATGAAACTAGTAATTAAAAAGGGGGGTTTTGGTTTTGAGTGATTTAATTCAATTAAGAAACTAAGATGAACAACCTATATGTGTTTAATTCAAGAATAAAAGGGACTTGGCTTTGCTACTTTCCACTTGTTGATATATTTTAGTCGATCCTTGTTATATCTATAACTTATCCCCTCTCGAATACTCAATCGAGGAGTATCTCCAATTCATCGAGGGTAGTTATTAACAACGACCGTTCATTAACAACCCTGACTATTAATCAAATATAGAACAACGCCGTATACCGATATGATAGTAGCATTCAATCTTTTAACTCATTGATGAAATCAATTGAGATTGATAACCTCAACACAACGGTCTCGGTTTAACCAACAAAATTGATCCTTCTTAAGTTTATTAACCACGACCGTGCATTAATAAACCGAAGTTACTTACTTATGAAACCACCAATGATTAACTAATCGTCACTTAGCAACCCTCCAACATTAATATAGAATGAGATTAAGGGAAGAATTAATAATCAAGAGAAGAAGTTAAGAAAATAACTCACAACTTTAATAATCAACAAGCTTCAAAAGCAAAACCAAGAATGGAAGTTTAGCTCCTCATTTGGAGACTAAACATAGCTAGAAAAATATAAAGAAATGCTATTCTAAAATGAGCTTAAGAGTATGGAAGAAGGGATGATTTTTAGAGAAGAAAAAGTGTGATATTTATAGGTGTTTTTCAACACCTTTGGCCGGGTACCCGACCGGGTCAAGTACTTACCCGACTGGGTCCGGTCAAAATCAGATAATCCGCCATGTTCTGGTGATCTTTGCACGTCGTTTTGTCCCGGGTCACATCTGACCCGACCGGGTCAAGTAGGGGACCCGACCGGGTCCAGTGATTTTCTAGGCAATTTCGTCTGTTAAATCATACCCGACCGGGTGGGGGTTTCTACCCGGTCGGGTTTTACTCCTGGGCAGTCAATTTTTTTGTTTTCTTCTCTTCAAAGTCTTCCTTTCCAACACCACAAATACTAACTATACTTTACAACTTATAAATAAAGACTAAAATACAATTACAACTGAAATCACATAAATGTTTACAAACTAAATAAAACGTCAAACAATCAACATAAATCAAACATAAAAACATGTAATTATGCACTACTAATTAGTGTGCATCACGTGGCCCGGTTGGCCACCCCTCTAGCTCCGCCTCTGACTATGGAAAGAATATGTATTTATGTTTACTATAAAATCCTAGGGTATGTTTGGCACAACAAGTTGAAAAAATACTTTTAGCAACTTTGTTATAATTGTTAGGTTTTAGTGACTGAAAAGATCTTAAAAGAAAAAATGTGGTAGCAGTTTGATAAAAAGTTGACTGTTTGATTTTGATTTGTTTGATGTACAAGTTGTTGGGACTAATTAATGTTTGAAGCTACTGTCTTTTCTCATATGCTACTCCTTGTAGCATCTCGATCTTTTATTTTTAGAAAAGCTCTTAAAAATTGTCATGGCAATCATACAACTAGAAACTTTTAGAATTTTTTTAAATAGTTAAGGCCGGCCATGGGGTGAGGGCAGCAGGACGACCGCACTAGGCCCGAAAAGGTAGAAACAAAATTAGGCCCAAATTTTTTTCTTTATTTATTTTGTAATGTCAATAGGCTTCTTTTTTATTTATAAATTCAATTAATTAATTAGGCCCAATGTTTAATTTTTGTTGACAATTTAAAAATTTTAAAACATAAGTAAAAAGTCTTGATCTAAGTCGCTTAGACAAGTGTTAAAAAGAATATACATTTAATTTTTATTTTTAAGTAGAGCTTGTTGTAGAATACTACGTATCACTTTTTAAATTTTTATTTTTAAGTAGAGCTTGTTGTAGAATACTACGTATCACTTTTTAAATGTATTCCTACATACTGAAGTCAATTCTCTCTAGGGCTTTCCGCCGCTAGCGCCTATTTCCGCTATCGACGCGTTCAAGGAGCGATCTTCTCATACTCGCGATGAAGAGTTTGACGAGGGAGGGGAGTAACCGGTTGGACGGAGGAGAGCTTGACGATGGAGGGGAATAATCGGTACCAGGTTGTGCGGTTTGGCCGGTCTGGTTTGCCCATCGTGGAGGCAGGCCGACGGGGAGGGGCAACGGATTGTTGCTAGAAGCGGAGAAAATTAATGGAATCAATCGTTAATCAGTCCAAGCAGATGGCTATTGGCGAGATGACACAGGAATTGGACCTGGATGAGGAAGAAATCGATGAGATTGCGGCGGAGGAGGTACGGCCGACGTTCCTGGTGGTTGGTGCTCTATTAACGTTCATATTTTCAAAGATCTTATGGCTTCGCTATCGAGACCGGGTAAGGGGTGTCCATCAAGGAGATTGGCGAGAAAAGTTATCTCTTTACTTTTTATCATAGTGTGGATATGAAACGTGTGTTGGATGGTGGTTCATGGCTGTTTGAAAGGAATTTGTTGATAATGAAAGAGGTTAAACCATATGATATTCCTCTTAAAATTGATCTTAATGAGACGGAATTCTGGGTTCAAGTTCATAATGTTCCTTATAGCTTGATGAACCTAGGTACCGCTAGAAGAATTGGTAAACTTTATTGGCAGTTTTGTTAAATATGATGACAATCAGTTTGAGGAAAAATGGGAAGCTTATTTGCGTGTCAGAGTTTGTATGGATGTGCGTAAACCCTTGAAAAAAGGAACATCTCTTAAGAAAGCAGGAGTTGGGCACTGGGTTGATTTCAAATATGAAAAAATGCCCAATTTTTGTTTTATTTTTGGTATTATTGGACACCGATAAATTTTGTCCTTTAACATATGAGGACAATCTAGTATTGGGAAAATCTTTTAGGACTAGTCTGAGAACAGGTAGTGCGATGAAGACTAGTCCAACAAGAGGAAACAAGTGGCTTGTGGAGGACTCCCCTAGTGCATCTCCAAGTCACTCTCTTCACGAGAATTCCAATATGGGAGACGGATCAGGAGGACACGGCTGGAAGGAATCTGTGATTAGCACGGGAGATAGCACGACTAAGGATGGGGACTTGGGAAATACTGAGGAAGTGTTAGGAGAACAAAAGAGAAGAAGAATCTGGAAAGATCAGGAGCAGGAGGGGCCAGGCAAGGACTCTATGTCTGTTGATAAGCCAAAAAACAGGGAGGAGGCAGGCTCAGATGCTTAAGCCAACCAAAGGTGCAGATGCAAGGAGCAGGTTCGGGACGATGTCTCGTCTTAGTGCTTTGGAAGTCGCAACAGGGTTTTTATTTTGTCGTAATGTTTGCTTTCTTTGGGATTGAGTAGTTTGGTTTTTTTTCAGTTTGTTATTTTTCTACATTGTAAGACTTCGAGTTAAGATTTGGGTGACATGAGGTTTGCATTTACCATCTTTGGCTCAGTTGCGCCCTTAAATGGATCAGCGAGTTATATTACTTATTTTGAGGTGATTAACTCTGGGTCTGGTTCGAGAGTCGACAGTTGCTTCTTGCTTGCGATCTCTTTGTCTTTTTGGCCCTTATGTGATATCAATATAAGTCACCTTTCATCAAAAAAAATAGAGCTTGTTGTAGGTCAACACATTTATTGCTGAATGATCAATCTCATATAATGAGAACTAGATCCCGAGAACGAGTGGAACTTTGATGACTTGACTGAGTCCTCAAGTTGTTCCGAGAGGGACCTTTTGTTACGCTTCGGGTTTGTTTTTTTGTTGTTTCTAGTTTTTTCTTGTGGGGTTGCTTTCTTTCCTCTTTTTTCCCTTTTTGGGTTTTTTGTTGTTTCTAGTTTTTCTTATCTTGTTGTTTTCTTTCATCTTTTTCCCTTTTCAGCTTTATCTCCTGTATTCGTTTGCTCTTTAATTAATAAAATTCCCATTTCTAAAAAACAATAACATGTTCTTTCACTATTGGGCTTTCAAGTCGTTACCGGCTTGGAACAGAAATTGCTAACATGCCGAAAACACAAACCCAAGTTTGTGAGGAAATTAATATTATACCCCTATCTGAAAACGGGCATAGCCATAACCCATAGGTAGCTTTGACATAGATTACCCTAATTGATTACACTCAAAATCATTATTTACCAAAGTTACTTTTTTAAAGAATTTTTCTTTTAAAACACTACCAATGTTTGATATTAAAAACTCTTCTTATAATCCCTAAAATCAATTCTCTCAAAAATAGAAGTAAAATAAACACTCATTAAGAAATTTAGAAGCCCACAACGCGTTCATCACCAAAAATGTAGACCATGAAAAAAATGTAGGGCTACAAAAAGAAGGCCTTGTTGTATTGTATTTTAAAATCACCTGCAAAGTTCCACAACAGTCCGTAACCTATACAAATACAACACAAAGATGATAGACAATGATAGTTTATAGCCCTAAGCCCCTAACTAATTAGCAAGTGATGGTTGTCTCTTCGATTGTTTTACGTGTACAACATGTCAACTTAAGGTGTTCAAAGCCGACCTGCCCTAATGTCTCTGTCTAAGTGATCCGCATTGAGAGTTCCAGGAAGCTCTCTGAAATCCTCATTGAATATGGAGTAGGCACTGAAGAGATGAAAAACAATAAATAAGCTCATATTAGCTGGGGTAGTGGGGTGGGCCAGGTTCATTTAACCAGGATTTTGGCTAGCCAATGTTTTGGTTAACCAACGTTTTGGATAGCAAATTTTCAACACTAGTAACCATAACATTAGTATTGGCTAACCAAGCATTGATTAACAAAAAAAATTGGTCGGGTCATTCTGTTAACCAAAATACCACACAAAAAACGTGCCAGTAGAGCCAAGCTTGAAATCCAAACATACACCAAATTTATAATAGCTCTTCATTATGCGTATAGAAATAAGACATTTAACCAATATATTACGTTAAATATGCTCCCAAATAAGACATTTAACCAATATATTACGTTAAATATGCTCCCTTTACGCTGAAAACACTATATTGCAGAAAACATACTAAGTGTTTGATTTGATAATATCTTCCTGTATGTTCTTCCCCTCAGGGGCGTAGCTGGGAGAGGGCCAACCCTGGCCCTGGTCCGGCCTAAATTTAAAAAATGTTCATATTTTTAGTGTAAAAGATTCCGTCTAAAAGATTTTCCAAAAATATTCTTTGTACCGGTCCAGTCCGGTCTAGTGCCCTGGCTCCGCCTCTGCTTCCCCTTCTAGCGTTTTACATCTCATTGGAAAGATCATTTTGAGTTCTAAAACTAGTTTTCCACCTTCAATTACAATGTATTAAGAAAAATGTACAGATTACCATGAAATTCATAAACATTTCCAATTTCAATCTCAACTCGTGTAGTATTTGATCTGATCATATCTTCATTATGTAATATATGCTGAGGTGTTGATGTGTATCATATACAGAAGACGTTTTTGTACATATAACACATTTAACCAATATTTGAAAAGTTTTTCATTGACTTTTTTTGTGTTTATAGTCTTTTACCTGAGTTCCCCATGCTGCCGCTGTCCCAGATTATAGAAAATAATTCCAAATCCTGTCCCAAGTATCTGTAGATGCAATCATTGAAAACAAGTTCACAATAATAAAAAACTGTGCCCAAAAAAGTACTAGGCACTAAGCGGGCTTAGGCAGAGAAACTGAACTAGGCAGTGCTGATCCCGGGGTGGATGACAAATCTTTCAAGCACTCCTAAGGAAAATTTCTCTCCGGAAGCTGATTTGGTGGAATTTGGAGAGGATACCGAGACTTGAAGCCTATTTGGAAAAAAGTAGAAGGGAAGAGAAGGAACGGAAATGGAAAATACCAAATACGATGCATTTACTTATTTGCTAGGGTAGAAATAGGAAGAAAATGGTGGGGGAGAGGGGTCCATCCTAATTTGAAGGAAAGCAAGGGAAATACAATATTACACTAATAACTTCCTTTTACCAAACAACTTTGATTCAAACTTTATCTCTATTTCATTTATAATTCTCTTCAATGGGACAACTTTATTTTTCTTCATTTCCAACCTACAACAACAACAAATCCAAGCATTAATCCCAAAAGAATTTGGAGTCGGCTAACATGAATAGATCTATGATATCGATGCCAAAAAGAGAAAACGGACAAGAAAGGAAAGAAATAACAACAAGATAAAATGAATAAAATAAAGATAAATAAATATAAGCTAACAATAACACAAGAATATAAGAAAGATAAAAGATAAAAAAGATGACGCGGATGTGCACCCTCCACTTTGACATGTAGACAAGACATCAATCGTCCACACGGATGTGCGCCCTCCACTTTGCTCTCTCCAAAGCCATACTCTCATCCAACCCAAGAAGACGCATATCAGTTCTGATTCCTCTAATCCAAGTTTGTTTGGGTCTTCCCTCCCTCTCTTCTCTGCCTCTTCTCCCAACCCCTTAAGTCGTCTAACAGGTGCATCACTCGGTCTTTTACGCACATGCCCAAACCACCGCAAACGAGATTCCTGCATCTTATCTTCTATATGTGCTACTCTCACCTTTTGTCTGATTACCTCATTCCCCAAGCGATCTTTTCTGGTATGCCCACACATCCAACGCAATACTTTTCGCAGGAGGCAGACGAACGAAGAAGACGAAGTCGCAGTTCGTTCCATCCAGTTCATCCTTGAAGCTTGAAGTCCAGTTGAGTCCACTGATTTCTTATCTAGTCTTATTTTTTATTTTCTACTCTCTAGGTCGGTGTAGTGGACTTATTTTTTAATATTTTTATTAACTAGGTGGTATATATATATATATGTATATCAAATTATCAATATATGTGTCCAGTTACTTTTACTTTTCTTGAACCCTTTATATTTTTGCCAATGATGAAGTATCAATCAATGTATTTAAATTAATTTATTATATTAATGGATAAGAGCAAGCTTACAAAGAATGGAACTTTCCACATAGATACTACAAGTATAAAACAATTAATTTATTAAATGTTGTGAACATGGTGATAATGATATAGACATTAAACCATTAATTTAATCGGTGAAGTGGTGATATACTGATATGCTCGTATATTAGTTTAATAATATTCTTAAACCATTAATTTATTATATATTTAACTTTTTTTGAAGTATCAAGTACACTAATATATGAAGTGCGTACTTTACATAGTTCAACCTTTTGTTCTTATTAGTTTTTTATTTGTTAGTTGGATTGTTATGGCGGACCATGAAGGTGAAACCGTGTATGATCCATCCAAAGATCCTGCTAGAAGAGCAAAATCTAATGACACAGGATGGCATCATGGAATTTGGCCAGACTTGAACAACAAAGACATAGTCCAATGTCAGTACTGTAATAAGCAAATGCGTTATGGCATAAAGAGATTAAAGTAACATTTAGCTGGCGGGTATGGAGATGTTGCTAAATATTCTCATACGACAACAGAACTTATGAGGGAGATGCGAGAATATTTAATGAAGAAATCCAGGAGAAAACCGATCCATATTGAAGACGACGGCGATGACAGCAATGAGGATGATGCCGAAGTACCTTTGACTCAAATAGATACTCCAACTTCTCAACCGAGTTTTGGGACAGCAACCAGGAGAAAAAATGGTGCTACACAATTCCTTAATGTTCCACCAAAAATGCCCAAACAAAACAAGTCAATTGCCTCCATCATTCGCAAAACTCCTGAGGAGGTTGTTGATGAAAGACACACGAAAGGCCCAACCCAAACTACAGTAGAACAATGCACAAAAAGCAAGGAGGAAGAGAGGGTCTTCATGCACAGTGCTGATTGTTTTTATGAAAACGGCATTCCTTTTAATGCAGCAAACTCCAGGAGTTATGAGATCATGGTGGAGTCAATTGGGCAGTTTGGACCGGGACTTAAACATCCTAGCTATCATGAGTTGCGTGTACCACTTCTTGAAAAAGCAAAGAAAAATACAGAGAAGCTCAAAGAAAAACACGAACTTGCTTGGAAGGAATACGGGCATAGATACATAAATCACTATAGAAGGCGTGATCTGCGTACCAAACGTTCCGTACCCAATCGCGGTACGAAAACGAACCGGTCACTGGTCGGTATACGCTATGTTGTACGTTCTTCGTGTCGTTCCCGGTCGCTGTTCATAGTCGATCTCAATCAATCTTCTAATCGATCCCAAACGATGTTACTAACGATTGTATTCGCCGTTCCCAGTAGTCACGCAGCTTGAAAACGTCGTTTCCCGTCATCCAGATTTGAATCGTCGTTTCCCAGATTTCAAAGTTCAAACAGGTCTGCGACTCTTACTTTCGGTTCATTTCCCATGTGTAAACAGCGTACGAAGTACGAACTTTGATTTTAGAACCACGCTCCTAGACTCTTAGTTTTCTCATTTCTGATCCTACTCATCAATTTTACCCTCTAATAACAATTATAAATTGAGGCAAAATGATCTGCTCCTAGACTTCTTGAATATTAATGTGTTTGCTTTTGTTTACTGTTATGAAATCTGTTTTGTTCAATGTTGAGATCTCTATTCTGTAATTCAGTTTTATTATAGTACCAAAAGATTAGGTACAGCGTACCGAACATATGGTACATTGTACCGAACGCGTACCGAATGAACATACCCCCCTCCGAATCGGATACGCTAGATCTAGCGAATCGCGTTCCCATTCCTAGTTCCCGTACCGAACTGTACCGCGAACTATGTGACTATGAATACGGGTGCACACTCATGTCTGATGAATGGTCTGACCGAAGGAATCGACACTTGATTAATTTCCTTGTCAATAGTCCAGAAGGTACTTTTTTCCTAGACTCGATTGATGCATCGGGTGAATCTCAAGATGCAACATTGCTAGCAAGTTTGCTTGAGAAAAAAATCAAAGAAGTTGGAAAAGACAAAGTAGTGCAAGTGGTGACAGACAATGGCTCTAAACTATAAGGCTGCGGGAAAGCTTCTAGAACACAAGATATCCACGCTTTATTGGACTCCATGCGCTGCACATTGTTTGGATTTGATGTTGGAGGATATCGGTAAATTAACCGATATCCTCCATTCAATGAGACAAAAGATGGGTGGGAAGGATCTTGTAAGACCTGGAGTTACTAGATTTGCAACAGCGTTTCTCACTTTGCAATCTCTATATAAACACAGAGAAGCATTGAGAATCAATTTAGCGGTCCGGTTTGGGGTAGATCTAAATTGGCTGCCACAGAAGCAGGAATGAAGGTTAGTGAGATTGTGTTGGCTACTAGATTCTGAAGTGCAGTGGAAGATTGCATACGAGCTTCACAATCGCTTTTAGTTGTCTTGAGGATAGTTGATGCTGATGGGAAACCAGTTATGCCAAAGCTTTCACTAGCCATGGATTGTGCCAAGAAAAAAATCAGCGAGTCATTTAAAAAATAAGCCAAGAGTTTTGAGGAGCCTAGTTAGGATCATTGAGACACGATGGGAAGTTCAGATGGAGGTCAAACTATACGGGGCAGCTTTGTTTTTGAATCTGTCTAAATACTTTGATCTCAAACAGACCGATCCCACATCAGCATCAAAGCAACGATCACTGTTTAACGATGTGCTTGAAAAGATGGTCACTGATGGTCACTGATGAAACATTGCAGGCCAAGATAAGTGATCAACGACAGATTATGACAATTGAGAGGAAGTTTTGCAAAGCAGCCCGCGATTAATTACCAAAAAACTAAGAGTCCTCGTAAGTGATACTTTTAATTATATTTAAAAATTAATTTAAATATATTAAAAATTAACTAATATTTTATTTGTGATTAATTTATAGTTGATTGGTGGGATGCTTTTGGTGGACTCGCTGTTGAGCTGCAATCGTTCGCAAAACACATAGTTGGTCTCTGTTGTACCTCTTCTGTCTGTAAGCGTAATTGGAGCACTTTTGAGTTTGTAAGTAATAGACTTACAATTTTGAACACTAACTAAAAATTTTAAATTACACAAGATTTTAATTAATTAAATCAAAACACTTATCAAATATATTTTTATCTTTATTTTAGATTCATACAAAAAGAAAAAGCAGGTTGGAGCATAAGAGGTTGAATGACTTGGTTTTTATTCAATATAATCGGAAGATAGCAATCAGGTTTCAGAAGCGGCGTGAAGAAGGAACAAACTTCAACCCTTTAATATTTGAAGATTTCCAATGGGACAATGAATGGGTCAGCAATGAAGCTATTCATCCTGGTGATGATCTTCTATGGAGTCAAGTTGATGCAGCTGTGTGTGCATTAAGCAATCTTGAGGGTCGTAATCTTCCTAGAACTAATAGCTCTCGTGGAGAACCGGTTTATTATCGACGTCGTGGTTCGAGTTCTTCATTAAGGTTGATTGATGAAGACATGAACAATGAAGAAGAAAGTTTTCCAAATGATGATGAAGATGTTGAAAATGACTATAGCCAAACACCACCCACTCCTACTCATGATGATGATGATCAGGGCAATGAAGGCCGTAAAGATGATTTAGTTCTTGATGATTTTTGAGAACCTTGTAGTTTGATCTTTAGGTTGCTTATTTGATATATACATTTTTAATCTTAATTCTCATTAATAAACCTTGTTTTTAATTATTAATTATGGATTTCAATTCTAAGTTATATACATTTTAGTTAGTAATATATTATACAATATATAATTAAATATGAAATTATATATGTAAATATATAATTATATATAATATATAATATAATATACACATATAGGCGACTAGTCGCCTAATTGTCGCCTAGGCGGGCGCCTTGTCGCTTAGGCAATATGGCGGTCAGTTGACGCCGCGACTCGACTTACCGCTGTGACAAGTATGGTTTTCACCAAAAAAATCATTATGAAGAACTTCAAATTTCACCCGAAAAAATGTTAGTCTAGGGCTGAAAAATCAGTCTACTCACATCTAGTAGAAACAACTAAACCTGGCCCTATTTTTTAGCCATTTTTTGGCCTAGGGCGCCCGCCCGGCTTGCCCCCCAGGGCCACCCCTGATGATAGGGCACCTCGAGAAGTCCTTTGAGGGGCTTAATTAGAATAGGCATATCACGTAAGTATACCAGTATCATCATTGATATGTATGATACTTGTACTACGAGTGTTCGTACTAGTGTAGGGAGGACCGCAGAGTTCCTTATTACTATCGGAGTGCACCAAGGATCGGCTCTGAGTCCTTTCTTATTTGTATAGTCATGGATGAACTTACAAAGTCAATTCAAGAAGATATATCGTGGTGCATGTTGTTTGCCGACGATATTGTATTGATTGATGAGATGCAGTCGGGTGTTAAAGCAAAGTTGGAACTTGGAAGTATGGAAACAAACATTAGAGACCAAGGGTTTCAGACTGAGCCGAAGCAAGACCGAGTATATGGAGTGCAAGTTTGGTGGAGGTAGAAGTAGTAGCAACAGTGGGATTACTCTTGATGGTAAGGAGATACCGATGTGTGACATGTTTCGTTACTTGGACTCCATAATTCAGAAGGATGGTGAATTAGATGGAGATGTATCACATAGAATCAGAGCTGGATGGATAAAATGGAAGAGTGCATCGGGATTTCTATACGATCGAGGTATGTCGACTAGACTAAAAGGTAAATTCTATCGAACGGCAATTGGGTCAGCATTAATGTATTGCGTAGAGTGTTGGGCGGTGAAACAATGTCATATTCAAAAGATGAGTGTGACAGAGATGTGTATGTTGCATTGGATGTGTGGACATACCAGAAAAGACCACTTAAGAAATGAGATAATCAGACAAAAGGTGGAAGAGCACCTATAGAAGATAAGATGCAGGAGTCTCGTTTCCGGTGGTTAGTGCATGTGCGTAGAAGACCGAGTGATGCACCTGTTAGACAACTTGCGGGGTGGGGAGAAGAGACAAGAGGAGAGGGAGGGGAAGACCCAACCAACTTCGATTAGAGGAATCGGAATTGATATGCATCTTCTTGGGTTAGATGAGAGTATGGCTTTGGAGAGAGCAAAGTGGAGGGTGCACATTTGTGTACTCTTTTTATCTTTTCTCTCTCTTTTTCTTTTATCGTTTATCTTCGTTATCTTTTTATGTGCTTATGTTTTTTTATCTTCTAGCTTTTTATGCTCTTTTATCTTTTTATCTTTTATCGTTCTTACATTCTTATGTTATTGTTATTTTATATTTATTTATCTTTATCTTATCCGTTTTATCTTACTTTTTTTCCTTTTTCTTCTTCTTGTTTGTCTTCTCTTTTTGGCATCGATATCATGGATCGATTCATGTTAGCCGACCCCAAAATCTTTTAGGATTAAGGTATGGACGTTGTTGTTAGAATTGGGTATTTGAAATATGCATCTGTAAAATGTACTTACATATAATGGTCCAATGTCAAATCTATGGGCAATAGGTGCCAGAACAAACCAAACAACAATGATTGCCCAGATCTTCAAGCTGATTGAGAAAATTGCCATCAAAAACATATCTACGAGAAGTAAGAGTGTTCAGAAGTGGTTAGTTTGTAGAAGAACGAATATTAGTGCAAACGATGAGGCTATTACCTGGAAGCTTCAATCTATCCCGTAATACAAAGAAAAACTTCTTTTTCCACCAACTACTTGATTGTGGCAGATGAAACTTCTAAAACCACCAAAAATAACGGGCTTATGCGAATTGATATCAGAAATTACATAACAAGTATAAGTAAATTCTATGAAAAAGGTTGGTTAATACCAGCTCGTCTTCATCATTGTCAAATTCATCTCGTAAATGATTGGCAGGAGACTTTGGTTTCACGGCAATTGTCAAAGAATCTAGAAAATCATCGCATTAAATGTTACCACTTGGGTGGGCATTGAAACTCATCACATTCAGTGAATTGCAAAATACTTATCGAAATGGTAAAGCACGAAGAAGTAAAAAAGAAACATCAAACAATCAGAAACTCCCAATGTATTCTGCATATAGATGGCCCATAAATTCAAAGAAAGAGGAGGATACCCCATCAAAGTATGCTTTAGTAGCATAGTATAGAATATTATGCCATTATGAGTGAGACCACAAAAGGTGGCAAAGATGCCTAAATAAGCATAAAAAGGAAGAGATTTGAAAATGTGATTATATGGCCGACTTATCGTGATTATATAGTGAAAATGACTTTGGACTTATAATCTCTTAGTTACAAACATCCCATTCAGAAGCAAAATAAAACTTCAATAAATGAGTCTTGTCCTCAGAATCTCATACAAGTAACAGACCTCCACTTTTGAGATGAACAATTATATCATCTCCGTTTTGGTTGTCATGCAACACGTTTCCTTGCAAAACAAGCTTCAAAGCTTCAACAGGCAAATGGCGAATTTTGGCAATTGATTTTCTTAAATCACGCACCTGTTTGTTGTTGACACCATTAAAAAGTTATTGATAGCATGCAGCACCATAAGGTATTGCAATAAAATGTAGTTGCAATGTTTTGAGGATAGAAATCAACAAGGTATAAAAATGCTCTGTATAAGTCTTGCACTATCAACCAGTTTAAGATAATTCTTTCGTGGAGTTCTAGCAACTAATCTAGCAAACCAAAAATTAAAATAAGATGAAAATACAACTGAAGTAGCACACCAAGATGACTCTTCACTAGTAAGAAAAATAGCAAAGTCCATTATGCACATTATGCTTAAATTTTGGAAATGGGATCTCTTCCTTTCAACAATAAAATCTGGAATTGAAGTGAAGATATCACTAATCTCTTTTTCATATCACGACTTTCACTACATGCATCTTCATAGCTACAATTCTAACCACAACTGAGGTAAAGGAAGATAATTGTTCTCATGACTCATGAGCAATGACATCAAATCTCACATTCTCACTGGATATACCTTCACATGTTCCATCAAGTTCTCCATAAGTAAATGAAGGTTAACTGTTAGAAGCATATTAGCTCCACAAGAACACATTCAACAACTATGAGCCTGAGATCATATCATTCAATCTGAATCCAGCGACATACTCTAGGAACTTTCTATTAACAAGAAATGTGAAATCTTCTACTTTTTTACTACTCAGTATTTGCAACACTAGGGATGTTTTTACTTGGACAGTAATTCGTCCAAGTAAATTACCGTCTCCAAGTAAAAACATCCTAGCAGGTCCAACGCCAAAAGAAGTGAAATTGTTAAGGTAATACGCGTATGTTTCAGGAAAAAAAAGAAAAATAAGACTACAGGGAAAAAATACTTCCATTTAAACAACGTAAATCGCATAGCTAAGGCGAGGATGCGTGTTTACTTTGATGGAAGAAGGAACGGCGATACGAGAAGGCGGCCATGGGCCGATTACTCTCAAATTGATTTCTACCATCTTCTCCTCCTCCACTGCATCGCAGCCACAATCAGGCTCGATTTCACGCCCCATTAGCAAACCCAATCAAGTCTCTCTCCCTCCCTCTCTACTTGTGCTAAACCAGGCGTGGGCATAGAAACCGAAGAGAACCTGTGCCGAACCTACCTGGTACGGGAGGCTTCTGAACCGCATATACCACCCAAGGTTGCATCAGCTGCCACACCTATAAGGATCTATTGCACATATATTCATATCACATGCAACAATGAGTGTAACAATTATCGGTCTTACACATTGACTGAGATAATATAACAATGAATAAATTTATGATAAAGAATAAATTTAGACGCTTATATTTGATTTATTCTTTCATAACTTCACATTAGTACATGAATTACATTTGTTTTGTTTGAGATATTTTTAAGTGTTCCTTGTCATTTTGTGTAGTCATATATTTGGTCACTTATGATGATATTAGATTTAAGAATGCTACTCCCTATGTCTCAATATGATCATCCAAATAGTTTTTGCATGTAGATTGAGAAAGTGAAAGTGGTGTGACGTAGAATTGAGCAGAGGAAAGGAAAATGATATGAACCACAAATTCTTTGCAATAAAAGAAAAGTGAAGCTTATTTTGGAACCGACGAAAAAGGAAGTTGAAAAATCAATATGGGACTGAGCGAGTTGTTAACATGATTTTTGTTTAAACTTCTGTTTTTCATAAAATTGATATAAAACTTACATATGAAATTAAGAGATTTATATAAATTAACGAATTAAATCATAAAAAGTGTATGAACTTTTTTAAAACTACACGAATTAACCTTTCAAAAAAACGCATTAAAGGGGGACCGAACTGTGCAATTCCGATCACGGACCGGCCAATTATTGTTTTTTTTTACTTGAAAACGCGTGAAAAGGGGGGATTAGAGCGAGACCGGTTCGTGCTAGGACCAGGATACACCACCCGGGTACCCGAACCGGCCCAAAGCCAAATTTAACCGAGTTGGACTCGGGCTTCGCCTACCAAGGACCAAGACCAGCCAATCAAGGACCGGAACCGAGGCTGGTCCGAGATCGGGGCCAATCCGAGACCGAGACCGGACCAAAACCGGACCTAACTACATGTAGCGACTAAATGTGACTCCTACTCCCATTATAGAATGTCTCTTAGAGCCCGTTTGGTGAGCCTATTTTTCAGCTTATTAACCAACTTTTTCACCAAACACATAATTTTTTATTTCGCGCGATGAATTGTGTAATAATAAAAAAAAAAAAGTAAGGTTAGAATTACTTTTCTAGTTGTATTGGTTGAAGTTACTACAGAGGATCATTTTAGCTATTTTTTCATATAATTTTTTCTTTATGTTATTAATAAAATATATTTTAAATATAATTTTTTTATAAATCAGCAGAATCAACCAATACATCCACTTCAGCCAGAACTTCATAAATTTCAACAGAATTAGCCGATTTCAATGTTACCAAACAGTAGGCATGGATCAGTTCCGATCTGCCCAGCTCGGCCCAACCCGCCACTGTGCAGGACCGGCCCGACCCGGTTGCCCGATATCGCACCCGAGCCTAGGACCCGACCCGGGGGCGTTTTGGGGGCGGGCTCGGGCTACAGGGTTCTTTGGAACCGGTCCGGACGGGCCGAGCCCGGTCCGAGCCAAAAGTTTTTTTTCAAGGTCTTTGGGTGGTAGGGCAGGTTGGGCTGGGTGTTTTGGAGGGGTTTGGGGTGTGGGGGTAGGAAATAATTAGAAAAGCAAAAAATAAACTGGTACACGACCCAACCCGGTCGCGGCTCAATTCCGGGCCTTTACCTCCATTAAAAAGCCCGGTTAGGACCAGCCCGGCCCGAAACCGGTCCATGCCTACCAAACGGGCTTTAGCATTACTTATTGCACTTTAGCAATAACAATGATGTGGGTGATGTCGTTGAACTATTGATTTTGTTCCCATTGAAATTGTTGCTGAGAAGATATTAAGATTTTAGTGGTGTACATGAAAAGGTGAAAATTGAACTTGAAACCTCATGAATTATTCATTTATTCATGAGGCATGTGCCAAAAGGTCAACAAAAGCATTATTTATGATTATTATTAGTATTATTATTATTACTATTATTATTATTGCATGGGCTACAGCTTACAAGTTACAACCACAACGAGGGACCACCCCAAAGGAAGAGCATATGGTATGAATAAGAATAGTTTCTTCAAATTGGCCACGGGAGGTTTTATTAACATCAGTATGCTCAATTTTGGACCCTGCCCACGTAAGGGGGGCGTTCTTTGCCGCGCATGTGAAGGTGGATCTTCCATGGATCCGTGATTGAGTGCCATGCTGCCCGCCCAAGGTTGCATTCAGGCACGAGAGGGCCATATCAGCGCAAATGGGAGCCGTTGACCGGAGGAGGGATGGTTGAGATACCTTGTTTGGACAGCTCATTTAGAACACTGTCGGTTGAAGGAGGCTTTAGCCCCAGAGGGAGGGGCATCCACGGGTTGTCTAATGCCTCCTTCACAACATTGTCAATCACTTCTTCTGCCTGCAAAATTGAAATATATATGTATGAATTATGTAAATGTATGAATCCAAAAATATTAGGCTAAGGTACCGGTTTGCTCCAGCCAGTTGGTCACAGGTTCATTTGAATCCATAAAGGACATAATTAATACGGAGTATTTGCTTATGTAAGGACAACTCAATGCTTATTAGCCCCACAGATGCATCAAATAGCGCACACACGCACAACAAGCTTACCGGCTGGATATCAAATGACTTCTTCTCTGGCATGTTGTATCTTTCTGGTGCTCCACCGCCGATGCATCGTCCCCCCGATGCATTCTGCACATTTTGACCCACATCATGGTATCATGATCCAGATCATCGCGTTTGCTTAGGGTGACATTACTTGCTCCGTACAACTATATAACATTACTACTATGGCCTTGTTTTGGTTGGAGGTTTTCAAGGTGAGGGAAGGGGATGAATTGTTCTTGCTTTTCTAATTTATCACTTTTTCCATAGCCAATCTAATTGAAAAACATAAGAAGAACATATTAATAAAAATACATTTCTATTCATACTTGTGGTTCTATACTACTAAAAGTTTAAGTTTATAATAAAAGTAGCCCATGATCTTATGATAATTATAGAAGTAATACGGAGTAAGATATTAAGTTTCGGGATTTCACACTACCAAAAGGTTAACTTTATACAGGGAATCGCCTGATTTAATATTTTATATCTGACCGGCTTGGGACAAATTTCAACTGTATCCCCTACACCCGTCTCCTAAATTCCCAACCAAACAAGAGCTAATTCACATGTTACATAGTAAAATTATAGGACAATTCTTCACCTGAGAAAGTGTTGCATATGATCCATGAAATGGTGGCATAATAGGGCAGCCCCATGCATGAGCATAAACCTTGAAATAAGTTCTCAATAGTTAGTTAATATTATGAGTCTATTGGAAGGAATATGAAGACTTGGATTCCGATTCCAAAAAAGAGGATTGGAACAGTAGCTCAATTTTTTTTGTCAAATATAGGATGAAGCAACCGTTAATACAAAGGGGAAATGTGCAAATACACCCTTAAAGTATATGTACAGGTGCAGATATGCCCCTGAACTTCTAAGGTGCAAAAATACCCCTAATGTTCCTATCAAGGAGCAAATTACCCTTGGTGATTTTAAATAAAAATAAAATTAAAAAACACCAAAACAATCAAAATATATTGGGTTCAGAAAATTGAAATATTTAAAATGAAAAACTTATTTTTCTTAAAAAAATAGAATAAACTATATATTTTTCAGTTTCCAAATTCAATATATATTTTATTTTTTGGTGTTTTCAATTTTATTTTATTTACTTAAAATCAATAAGGGCTAATTTGCTCCTTTATAGGAACATTAGAGGGTATTCTTGCATCTTTTAGAACTTTATGGGTATATATGTACCTGCACATATACTTTAAGGGTGTATTTACACAGTTCCCCTGATATGAATAAACAACTGCGACTCTCTCAAGGAGATTAAAATAGTATTACCCACCCCCACATTAGTCTTCCAGTTCCAATCCTCTGTCTGTTGCCACCCGGGGTAGTGGCAAGGTGAGCCCCACACATGGACACCAGGATAACTGCCCCAGGCAGAGTAGAATTGCCTGGCAGGCAGGGCGTTAGTAGATTGATGCTGCGGGAAGGCCACTATGGGTTGCTTATGAGGATAGTAAGTCCTTTGTGTAGGATCTATTGAGAGAAGCCATCTCCTCTCGTCTTCTTTTGGCAATATATGCCGGCGATGCATTCTGTACTTCTGTTTTGAAGATAAAAAGCACATAAGCACGTCAGGGGAACTTTGCTTGTGTTTATAGTTCTTATATAGTTTAAGATATATGATAAATTCACCATGTGTTCTCTGTTCTCATTACTGAACATTAGATAGTAGCACAACTGAGTGTTACAAAGGAACTAAACTACTATACAAGATAATATCACGTGTATGATAAATGAAGTATTATCCACATGTATAACAAACTTCCCATGTAAAGTGGAATAGTATGGTCAAGGTATATGAAGCCGAGTAGGTCTCCTGTTGGTGAGACGAGAGTCCCATGAGTAGAGGATAGCCCCTATATGTGCATGCATCCATGCATGCAGTAAATTGGGTTTACCTAACACGGGCGAACCTTTAGACTCTCAGAAATCAGTGAGTAAAACTGCAGAGAGACCTTTGCTAAAAATATCAGTAGATTGGTGGTCAGATTGAACATGAAGAACACAAACAAGACTGCGTGCAACCTTTTCACTAACAAAGTCAATATCCTTCTCGATATGTTTGGTTTGTTGGTGCTGAATAGGATTACCAAACATGTAAACAGTGCTAATATTATCACAATAGACGATAGTAGCCTATTTTAATGGACAATGAAGCTCGAGTAGTAGATTGTGCAACCAATAGGTTTTGGCAACCACATTGGCCACACCCTGATATTCAGCCTCAGACACTGGAGCGGGATACGATGGGCTGCCGCTTAGAAAACCAGGAAAGAAAATTATATACAAGAAAAACACAATAGCCAGAAGTGGATCGACGGGTGTTCGGGACAACCACCCCAATCAACATCAGAATAGGCTACAAGGCCACACATAGGAGAAGGTCATAGATGGAGACCAAGACGAATTTTACCTTTAATGTAACACAAAATTCTCATTTAAGGCATGAAGATGTGGTTCTCGTGGGTCATGCATGAAGAGAGAGATCGGTTGGACAGCACAACTGATATTGGGCCATGTGAAAGTTAAGTATTATAGCGGCCCCACAAAACTTCGATACGCATAGGGGCCTATTTGAGCACTTGACTCTGCTGTAGTGTCGATTGGGTGATGGACGGATTACAAGAGCTAAGACCCACGCAAGTAAGGATTTCAGAAGCATAGACATGTTGAGATAGAAATAACCCGTCAGGATGTTGTTTAACAGAAATGTCAAGAAAATAGCTCATTGGACCCAAATCCGTCATTGCAAATTCATAGCTAAGCTTGGAATAATAGCACGCTGAAACTGAGAGGAGGAAGCTGTGATGATAATGTCATCGACGTACAACAATAAGTATGTCATAGAGAGCCATTCCGTAAAATAAAGAGGGAGTGATCGGACTTGCTGTGACGAAAGTCGAGAGTAGCAAGAAAAGTGGCAAAGCAGTGATACCAGGCCCTGGGGGCTTGTTTGAGTCCATAAAGAGACTTGAGCAAATGGCAGACATGGTGAGGCTATGTTCGATCCCAAAAACTAGGTGTCGATGCATGTAAACTATTTCTTCAAGATGACCGTGAAGGAAGGCGTTTTTACATCAAGTTGATGCAAGGTCCAAGAATGATGAAGGGCTAAGGTGAGAATGGTACATATGCTCGCCGGTTTGACCACCCAACTAAAAGTCTCATCACAACCGCCCGCTGACCATAAGCCAGGCTTTGAGCCGTTTCAGATAGCCATCTGATCTGTACTTATGTTTAAAAAGCCGCATACAATGAATAATGTTAGCATAAAGGGGGCAGGGAACCAACTCCCACATCTTACTTTTCAAGAGCACCAAATTCATCATTCATAGCAACTTCCCAATTTGGATCATTCAAGGCTGTTAGAGGAGAGCGTGGAAGAGGAGAGGAGAGAGGGTGGTAGTTTGGGCAGAGAGATTTAGTGGGAGTTTGGTTTTGAATGTACCAAAATGGCTACAAGTCACCATAGGGTGAATATGGTGGTGACAGGCAGTCGAAGGAGTAGAAACTGAGGTATTTAGGGAGGGTGGATTGGGAGTTGAGGTGGAAGAAGGAGGTGATGTGGGAGGGGGATAAACAAGGCTGGGAAATGGGGAAGGTCATATGTGAGGAGGCAGCGAAGGCAGTAGGCTGATGTGGGGAAATAGGAGGTGCATGTAGTACGGTGATTGACGCCATATAGAATATGGGTAGGCTCGTCGAGGAAGGAGTAGTCGGGCTGAACATGGTGTGACGGAAAACCGAGAAAAACGTTACGGGTGGACTGTGGGAGTAGTTTATGAGTGTTGGGGTGGAAATATGGGGAAAACATAGACACCCCAAAACTCATAGGTGTGAGTAAATTGGAATACGTCTATATAAGATCCGAGTAGGAGATAGGTAAGAGAGAGAGGGGGGGTGGGGGTGAGGATGTTATGTAGGTAGCCATTTGGACGGCGTGAGGCCAAAAAGTAGGCGGTAGAGATGCATGTATAAGAAGGGTACGGGCACAATTATATATTGTACGAATGGAGTATTCAGACTTACCATTCTAAGTGGAGGTGTAGAGATAGGAAAGCGGAAGTAAATTCCTTTTTTGGTGGCAAAATCACGAAAATTGGAGTTATCATGCTCGTGATCATTATCACATCGAATGATCTTAGTAGGGAGGCATCTTCGACAGGGGAAAGACGGCGGGGATGAGCTCCACATCTGTTGCGGCCGTGAACTGCAACTCCGGTAATGGTGGCCACGAGCAGCAACTCAGGCGATGGCAACTCCAACCTGAAATCCTTTCGTGTATGGGAATGAAGGAAAGCAAGACAGCAAGCAAGCAACAGAGAAAGAAAGAAAGCAAGCAAGAAGGAAGGAAGTTGCAAGCAAACCAGATGCGCAGAAGGAAGAGAAAGGTGGAAGAGAACGGGAAAAGGAAGAAAGAAAAAGAGAAAAAAGAAAAAGAATCAAACTGTCACGTAGGCCGCCGTGGGCTACCACGCGTGCAGCTAACCGGAAAACCGGTCGATTACCTACTAAATCGCTCAATTGAACGTTTTTTAAAGTTCAAGGGTTTAATTGGATGTTTTTAAAGTACGAGGGTCTATTTGACTTTTTTGACATTATACGGGGGCTTATTTGACAGTTTTCCCCTTTTAATAATATTAAGGGCATAAAGAACATTATGGAGAAGTAAGGGAGGTTGTGGGAGTGGTAGAGAAACCCAGCCAAGACCGGAAATAGGAATTGTAAGACCATGGGTAACAAGAATGGTGTGTTTGGTGTTTAACAAAAATAAGGCAAGAAAGTATCTGAGTCCGACGTCATGTATTGGGATCTGGCACCAGTGTCCATGATGGACGGGGAGCCAGAATGTGTGTCAATGTGTCAATGTGTGCATGGCAGTATTGGCATCACTAGGACATGAAGAGGCAGCTATAAGACTGAGCAGGCAAGGACGGACGGGGACCTAGAATGCAGACCGAGGATGAACACGTAGACTGTTGACTAGGCCATGAAGGGGAGAGACACGGAAGTGCTGCCCAGGGCTGTTCCATGCGCCCCGCGATCCCATCCTTCGAAGGCAGTACTGGTGGACACAAAGGGGGGGCAAGTGCCCCCCCCCCCAAAAAAAAATCTACTAGGTATAATTATTCAAAAAAAATATACATACATACATATAGGGTGCGGTTCCGGTGAGAACACTTCTTAACGTGAGACATGAGAACGCTCCAAAACGATGCACTTTATTATTCACGAAAATGCACATTTATAGTTAAAGTAATGCAAAATTCTAATGTGCATGTTTACGTGTAAACTTTTGCACACTTGAAATACAGATTTTCCAATTTTTTATATGCACATTTCTGTTTTACTTGATGCACAATGCCAAAATCCAAAGCTCCAGAATCATTCTCATTTCTCACGTTAAGAAGTATTATCATTTGATCCTTACTCTCTCTCTCTCTCTATATATATATATATATATATATATATATTAGTATGTACTCCCTCCGGTTCCAAAAGATCTTGACACTTTGACTTCACAGTTTTTAAGGAAATAAACATTGTTTGACACTGTTTGGCACTGTTTGACACTGTTTTGTGTAGATTTATTTGCCAAATAAGGCAAATAAGGAAGTGTAAAGATCTTTCTGGTACTGCTAAAAATGGAAAGTGTAAAGATCTTTCAGAACCGGAGGGAGTATTTTTAACATTATCGCCGCTACTATCAGGAATTCCCGCGTCCGCCACCGGAGGGCAGTGGAGTCGCTTCGATGATGGTGTGAAGGAGATCCATGGAAATGGTGTCATAGATCCATTGTAAGACAACAACATCCAAACCTTGCCATAACGCCCGAGCTTCGGATTTGATAAGGTGGTGTGCTTGTTGCACAGGGGTGAGAGACTTAACGATGGTGTCCTCCAAGGATCTATCATCAGAAGGTGGTGGGGACATGTGGTCGCTAACTTGATAAGCATGGGCGGTTATTTTGAACCGTTCAGCTCAAGAGGAATACTGCACATTTTCCATATCAAGACTAACACGAATGAAATTCTTGATATTGGAGACAGCAAGGGAGGGGTGGGTGAAGTTTTTAAAAGGGGGAGATGAAATGGTTAGCACAAAGAAAGGGTCGTAATGCAACTGAGTGTTACAAAGGAACTAAACTACTATACAAGATAATATCACATGTATGATAAAAAAGTACGTAGTGTTAACAAACTTCCCACATAAAGTGGGAGCATGGTCAAGGTAGATGAAGCGGAGTAGGTCTACTGTTGGTGAGCCGAGAGTCCAATGCGTGAAGGATAGCCGCTACGTGTGCATTCATCCATGCATGCGGTAAATTGGGTTTGGTTAACAGTTTGCCTTCATGCTCCTGTTTAATGCTTTTTATTAACTAAATGAATGAAGAGTATGAGTAAGTAAGAACACAGCTTGGGTTTCCGTTGTTTCTTTTTAGCTCCTGCTTATACAATACGTCGATACCATTGATCATTACAACAACAACAACATCCAAGCCTTAGTCACAAAAGATATTGGGGTCGGCTAACATGAATCGATACATGATATCACAACCAAAAGGAAAAGAAGGAATAAAGATAAAAAGATAAGCTATTATGAAAAGATAATATAAAAAAGATGAATATATATATATAAATGATAAAATAAAAAGGTTGCAAATAATGCTTATAAATATATATATATAAGGATAAAAAACTAGGAAAAAAAAAGATGAGGGAAAAAGATTATCAAGATCACTCCTTCACGTGATAACCCGCCCTCCACTTAGTTCTCTCCAAAGTCATGCCCTCATCCAACCCCAGAAAAAGCATATCACTTCGAACTCCCCTAACCCACGTCTGTTTGGGTCTTCCTCTCCCTCTCTTCCCTGCCTCTTGTCCACACATCTCAACTCGCCTAACAGGTGCATCACTCGGTCTTCTACGCACATGACCAAACCACCGTAGGCGCGACTCCCGCATCTTGTCTTCAATAGGTGCTACTCCCACCCTTTGTCGGATTGTCTCATTCCTCACGCGGTCCTTCCTAGTATGCCCACACATCCAACGCAGCATGCGCATCTCTGTCACACTCATCTTATGAATGTGACATTGTTTCACCGCCCAACACTCTACGCCATACAGTAATGCAGGCCTAATTGCTGTCCTATAAAATTTACCCTTCAGTCTAGTCGGCATACCTCGGTCACATAGAAATCCTGACGCACTCTTCCACTTCATCCACCCTGTTCTGATTCTATGGGATACATCTCCATCTAACTCACCGTCCTTCTGAATTATGGAGCCCAAGTAACGGAACATATCGTTGACCGGTATCTCCTTACCATCCAGAGTAATTCCGCTATTACCACTACTTCTACCTCCACCAAACTTGCACTCCATGTACTCTGTCTTGCTCCGACTTAGTTTGAAACCCTTATTCTCCAATGTTTGTCGCCATACTTCCAACTTTGCTTTAAGACCTGATTGCGTCTCATCAATCAATACAATATCGTCGGCAAACATCATGCACCACGGTATATCATTCATCATTCTATTTTATCTGAAATTACAATCTTAACACAAAAATGTAGAACCTTTGAAAGTTTAAGAGCTATTTTAACTAATAAAGAAGAGTTATTTCCTAAAATGTTACTGGAATAAAGCTTGTTGACAAAAAATGACTTAAGTTACCATAAGTAACATCATGATCACATAAGTGTAAAAATTGAACATATAAATAAGTCACTAAAAGTTATTACTATAATCACTACACTTAAGAGGTCACATTTGTATCCACCATTTTTATTTAAGTTATAAGTATGTCATGTTCAATCCTTCATTCCTTTTTCCCTATTATTTGTTTTATAACTTACTGCTGATTATTATTTTAAAAAGAGATTGCCAATGAGGGAAATCAAGCATAGACCAAGTTTATAAATAGGACTAACTAATTTTGTTTTAAAAACAGTACGTAGTTGGTCCTAATAAAGGAATAAAGCAAATCAATACTTCTTCTTTTCAGAACAAATGAGTTAAACAATTGTGAATGTATTTGAAAAATGTGTTATGTTTTGGTCTTATTTAGAAAATTTCCTCTATTATAAAACAAAACATTTACAAACTATATGACCTATTTTCATTATAATTATGAAAATAATTCATTTTAAAATAACAAAAAACATCAACTGAAAATAACACAGAGTAATGTATTATAATATTAATAATAATTAATATAATAAAAGAGGCCTAGGTTCACATAGGTGCCACACCATGTCATGACTGCTCCGCTAGTCCCGCTAATGGGTAGGACGTAAGAACTCACATCACATTTAATTACAAAGTAGACCCAATTTTTTGTTCTTAATCCCTACTTTCCGGTATTAGATCCTACCACTATCAGCACATGAGGTATTTTAGAACTTCATTCACCCAAAAAAAGAGTCTCATTTGTAATACTGGTCCCAGTACTAAAAACATGACTCTTTCATTGGGGGAGGTAGTAGCAATCTCTTGAGAACCATTCTTACGTGCAGTGATGGTGAACAGCATAAGAACCCGTTCTTGATCACTCTGATAATAATATAAGTACATTGCACTTGCTTAGTTGCTTATATACATATATATACCTACCTGTAGATGGCTGGCTACATTGTGCCTCGTCAAACCTTCAACTTTCATCAGTTCCAGGATTCGGGAAGGGATGGCCTGATCTACACCAAGTTGTTCCACCGCCTGTACAAACTTCTTGTGCAGTTCGGGTGTCCAGTCTACCTAACCAACCAAACATAGACCGGATAAGTGGGACTTACTACCAAAAATATGCCAACTTCAATACGTACTGTCCACCACTTGTTTGCTGGGGATGGCAGTGGGTCGGATACCTGCCCATTCACCACGATATGAGCTCCCGCCTGATTTCTTATAATACTACCTTTACCCATCCCCATCCCCTTCAGAATTATCTATGGGTGGGTACCCAAATTTGACCCAAACCCTGTTTACAAATTCAGAAAAATAACATACTCAAATTTGACCCAAACCATAGTATATAGATACGCATTTGTAGTAACATTGTTACTACCTTCCTCCCCATTAAGTTTTGGATACAGGTTTGGCACAAATATTACTAAAAAGTGGAAATCTGTAATCGGTATTTAAATTCTTAAAAAATGATGATGATTATTTACCACAAAATATGGTCACCTTTGGTAAGAAACAACACTTTGGGATGGCCTAAAATGGAATATTTTGTCATTTTCTTTTGGTGAAAAGATGTGTGCTTGACATTTTTTGTTTCTAAATATATCTCAACCACAAAAATTTATTTTCTTAAGCCAGTGGGAAGCTATATAATTTCGGGAAGCTTATATCATTCCATCCAATGCACCATTTTTGTTATTAATAAATAAATATATACGAATGTATACACTATTACACTAATATGTATACATGCACATTTATATCCAATTATGATTTTACAATATATTAATAAAAAATAAATATTAATACATGCTCTGGTTTAGGTATTACACTAAGACCAAACAAACCAATACGGGATTACTGTCTATCCAAATCCGTCTCATTGCCCGATTCAGGCAAGTCGATTAGTCGCTGCCATCCCTAGGACAAATAGATAAATAAAAAGAGTCAAGATTCTACAAAATAACTATCTTACCTTTAATTTCCTTTTATAAGCTTTTGTTGTCACCTCACATGAACCATTGAAACCAGGCTGTTTTTTACTGCTGTCACGAGCATCCTTGCTTCTCTCTGAACGGTGGTTACAATTACCATTCTGTTCGGGGCTCGATTCCCTTTCCCTCTTAATGACACTATCTCCCGGTGGTGTAGTAGTTTGGGAAACCGAGTCACAAAAAGTAGTTTCGACAAATTTAGTATATTCTCCCCCATCTTGCTCCACACTACTACTATCTTGTGTTTGATCATCGAGTGACCTCACACCTTGTTTGAGTTGGGGAGTAGAAGGAGCAGGGCACTTGGTTTCCTGCATTGACGTGTTTGATTCTTCACTTTCATTGCAACACTCTATCTGCAGCAACATTGAAACTAAAGATTCTTTTATGGGTTTTAGGGATTCAGACACGTCTTGCCCCCTGCCGCTGCTGCCTCCATTGAAAGCCTGTTTTGTGTAGACTATACGTTTCAATTATTTATCCAAATTGTACACGGCTCAAGAACAAGTGATCCGGAAAGAAAAAGAAAACCTAATTAATATACACATGCTATAGTAGGGCTGTAGACTCATATTTCAAAGCCAAAAATATACACACACAAGACTCCTAAATACTCCTAAAAATTCGTCAAAAAAGAAACAGCAACAGGACTAAGGTTCAAACTTTTTACATGTTCAATTAAGGAGCATCCGTCGAATCTTGAAGGAAGTAGTCTGAGAAAGTAAATCAGCCTTGTCTCATTTAAATTCTTGCCACTAGCTGCGGAAAAAAGATGAATTAGAAGAGGATAAGGTGTATGCGGTAGCTTAGATGGAAATGAATCGGGAGAAAGGCCTCAAAGATAATTGAGATGAAACTAAAGAAGATGGAGGGAGATACTGATACCTGGGTACTGTTAGAAGGAAAGAAATCAACTCCCAGCTAAACTGTGATTTAAAGCATCAAAATCCAACTACAAAACAGTTCAATGTAAGATCTGAGGAAAGAAAGAAGCAGACAGAAACAAAGATATAGAGTGAGAGATTGAGGGGGAAGCCAAAAACTGGTGGAGAATGGTGCACATAGCAGAGGAAACATCAAATTTAAAATCAAACAAAAACAAAAAATGATCACACTTCACATTTGCAATTTAAGGCAAGGGCTCTGAGAGCATGTGCGTGTAATGAATACATGAGTAAACCAAAGGAGGAAATGCACGAGCAACGGAGCAAGAGCGCACGAAGTATATACTCTGGTGGGGGTGGGGGCGGGGGCAACTTCTCAGCCCATTGTTTTCTTGATTCTCTCAAAATCCCGCAACAAATGTCTATTTATCAAGCACAAAAAGTCCACAACTTTTCTTGCTCGAGTCATGTGACATGGTAAAAACCCTTTTTACGTGTGCCAAAACAATCTATGTGGAAAAATAAAAGCCCTCAAAAGAATTATCTTGGAGTCATATCACATGTCAAGTACTCCAATTATCTACATCATCTCTTCACATTAGGGAGAAACGGAAACCGAATTGATAAAACAATCATTCTTGATGTACAGACTCTTGTACACAACTTATACACATCATGTTTGTGAAGTTTTTTTTTCTGTGAATCCGGTTCACAGGCAATGTTTTGTTTGTGCAAAACATTGTCTGTGAATCGATGTTCACAGACAAGAAAAAAAGCTTTCACAGACATAGGTGTGTACAAAAGTATGTATAAGAGTGTGTACAAACATCATTTTTGTTGATAAAATCTGAACCCAAGTAAAATAAATCTAACCGCAAGAAAATAAAAGTCAAACTCAAACAACTGAATGCTAGTTATTTGATTTCTGTTTTGGTTTTCACCTCCAAAAATTGAACCAAACAAAAAGAACCTTTTTACAATATGTTATTTTATTTATTAATCATTTATTGTAATATTATGTTTACTTCTTAATTCTTAATTCTAAAAAGTTAATGTTTGATATTTACTACTTCCTCCATCCCTGAAAGAAAGTCTTAGGGCCCGTTTACTAACAGAGATATTTTCCAGTTTTCCAGAAAACTAGAAAACTAGATAACAGAAAACAGCAAACGTGTTTACCAAAGAAAATTGTTGGAAAACTGGAGAAAGGAAAACAGAAAAACGCGTTTACCAAACCGTTTTACAAAACAAAAAAAAACGAGACATGTCTCTCTTTTCCTTAATGATTTGGAGAAGTGACTTACTAATTTTCCAAATTTGAAAAACGCAGATGCTACAGGCCGCTGCAATGAATTTGCATACTTACACCTAGTGGTGGGTCCAGTCCCGCTCCGATGTCGAATCCATTCTAGTACCTCCATCCTCGTACCTTACCCCTACCCTACCCTACCACCGCCCCGCATACCCTTTTTCCCTACAATGACCCTACCTCCACCCCTACCACATGCCCCTACCTCGGTCCCACCCCGATCCACCCTACCCTACCGCCACCCCTACCACCTCAACCCCACCCTGACCCACCCTACCCTACCCCCACATCGTATATTACCCCTTACCCCTTCCTATATGCCCCTACCTTGGCCCCACCCTACCGCCATCCTACCACCACCCTCGTACCGCCATCCTACCCCCACCCCTCCCCCTTCCTAGGCCCCACCGTACCGACATCCTACCCCCACCACCATCCTACCCCCACCACCATCCTACCCCCACCCCACCCCTTCCCCTTCCTAGGCCCCACCCTGATCCCCCCCTACCGCCATCTTATCCCAACTCCCTGCCTAACCCCAACCCTACTCACTACCCCCACCCTTACCCCTGACCACCACCCTAACTGTCGTGCACTTGTCGTGAGATGCACTCAAAATAAATACAATACAACGAATATACGTAGTATAACGAAGTAAGGTTCGTATCCACAGGGAAAGGAATATTTATCTTTTATAATAGCAGTAACGAAAGGGAGGTTTTGAGTTTGATTTGATTTAATTTAATTAACACTAAGATGAAAAACTTAAATGAGTTTAATAAATAGAGATGAGGACTTGGTTTTGCTTTTATTCACTTAATGAAATGTTCGTTGATCCCGGTTATATCTTTAACTATCTTCCTCTCGAATACTCAATCGAGGAGTATATCCAGTTCATCGAGGGTAGTTATTAATAATGAGATGCGTTCATTAATAAAACTTACCATCGAGACAACATAGAACAAGTGTCGTATATTAATTCGATAGTAGCAATAAGCTTAAGATGAAAACGATTGAGATTGATAACCTCAACACAAGCGGTTTATTGGTTTAAGTGTTTAACCAATATAATTAATTCCCCTTGGTGTATTAACCATGAGATGCATGCATTAATAATCCAAGTTTACTACCATTGAATGAATCGAATTAATAACAAGCGTATTAATCGATTGATTCTAGTAATAATTAATATATGAAACAAAACTAGTTAATCCTTTAAGTAATGTTCAAAATATTAACATGAAATATGAATAGGAATTAATTAATACTCGAGGAAGAATATTAAAGAATATGAATCCTACTATAGTTAATATCAAGATGTTAACTAATTGTCATCTTAGTAACACTCCCCAATATTAACGTAGAGGAAGAAATAACTATTACTATAACCAATGTCAAGATGTTAACTAATTGTCATCTTAGTAACACTCTCCAACTTTGATATAGAAATAGTATTTTAAAGGAAGAATTAATATTCAAGGAAGAAGATTAAAGAAAATAACTCACAACTTACAAATTCATTAAGCTTCAAAGTAGCAAAACCAAGATGGAAGAGTTTAGCTCCTCATTTGGAGACTAAACATGATAAAAATATAAAGAAAGTACTTATCTAGACTGAGCTTAGAAGTATATAGGAATTGGTGTCCTCATTGTGAAGAAAATGAGGTGTATTTATAGGCTCTTGGGATGCAGCTCGGGTACCCGATCGGGTATATACACGGTACCCGATCGGGTATGTGTAAAACGTCAACTTCGAAGAATACTCGATCGATTCTGGCTATATTTTATATGTATACCCGATCGGGTGTGCTTTTATACCCGATCAAGTATGTGTAGAAAATGATATTCGAGCTATACTCAAAGGCATACCCGATCGGGTATGTCGGTCTACCCGATCGGGTATAGATACTCGATCGTGGTCAAAATCTTCCCTGCATGTTCCTTTGTCTTCGGATCCGATCCGATTTGAAGTTTCAACGAGATACCCGATCGAGTATAGATGATACCCGACCGGGTATAGGCAAAAAATTCAGGATCTTTATTTTGTCTTGAGATTATGCACCTTTCTTCCACTTTTTGGGGTTCATCAACTGTCCTTTGAGTGATCAAGACCTGTTTAAGCTCAGAATGAACCTAATCTAAACAATTTACAAGAATTTAACAAACTAAACTATTACACCAAAAGTGTGTAATTTACAAAGTAAAAATCAATCAAAACTAATTAAAAAATACAAACATACACATGGAAATTACATGATTATCACTAACCCACCCACTACCCCACCCAACCTCGTACCCCTAGACCTTACCACCCCACCCCGACCATCACCTTATCCCACCCCACCCACCCCCACCCATACCTTCCTTCCCTACCCCGACCCCTACGAGTAGGTATGGGTGGGTCTGAAGGGTTTTAGAGGAGTATGGGTAGAGTGTAAGATCGTGGTAAGGGTATGGGTAGAGGTCAAGGGTGTGGAATTGGGTGTAGGGTGTAAGGTGGGGGTACGAGGTATAGGGGCAGGGTAGGGGTTAGGAGTATGGGTACACATACGAGGTGATCGACCCCACATATCATATTATATTATATTTGTGTTCATGAATGTTTGTGTGTCTATATATGCATAGGGTTATTCTGGACATTTTAATGTTAAATGGTGTTTTAAACCTTTTGAAGTAAACATGATCTTATAACATTGCTTATTTTATGCGTCGCTTATTAACGCGAGTCTTAATAAGCACCATTTAGTACCCCGTGACGTAAACGTGTGAGTCTTCTGGATGATCACAGAACTGGGGTGAAAAATTTGATGAACATGTTTTCAGGTTTGAAAATGGAAAACTAGAAAATAGAAACAGAAAACTGGAGATAGAAAAACTGAAAAATAAAAACAGAAAATTGGAGAACAAAAAACAGAAGCAAAAAACAGGAAAATATCTCTGTCAGTAAACAGGCCCTTATTTTCCCAAAATGGAAGTCCCTAAATGAATGTTCTACTTCTTTAACTTCTTTATTTGGTAAACAATTCTACATCAAATATAGCAAAACAATGTCGGAAAAGTGTTGAAACGGTGTCAAAGCAGTGTCAAACAGTGCACTCTACAGTAAAAATTACTCCTCAGTAAATTCATTTCCTTAATATGTGTGAAGTCAAACTAGGACAATCATTCGGGAACGGAGGGAGTATGATTTATATGATATTGACATGTGATATTAAGTGAGCCTTCTCGGAAGTCTAGCACCAGACTTGGTACGACATACGGAGTCATGGACCCACAAACCTTTAGCCCCAATTGTCACACTGGTATATCTGGTACTACCAAGGTTACTCATGGGAAAGTCGATCCAGAATAGAAAAAGATAAAGGATCAATAAATATAGACTGAAAATCAATGGACCCGACAAAAAGGAACTCAACCTGGTTGGGGTCCTACGAAGAAAAAAAAACAGATTTCAGAAGAATAAAAACCAAAGTGTAAACCTTAATAGACAACCACATGATCACCCTACTAGACATGTCCACCAAAAAGACAAGTTTCAAGAGAAGGTTGCTCACAGGCTGGGGGGTCTGGACAACCTCCAAAGTCCAGAGTTAACCATCGTTCCTCTCTTGACAGTATTTGGGTAGGACTTCTTCCCAATGAAAAAGACTATACAGAAGTATGTAAATTGGAAGCATGACCCTCACAAGCAGATCCTCAAAGTGAATCACACTTATGTTTACTACGATTACTCGGTGTAAAATGGTACCAGCCATCGAGAACTCATTTGATGAGATCGGAATGGTACCGGTTCTCCAGGCTGCATAACCTCTTGAACCCAACATTGATTGTGTACCTAAATCTTATTTTCTATTGTGTAGAAATTGTGTGCTAGAGACATCTCTGATCAAGGATGGTTTATCGATGGCAGGTGCTCCAGATACATGACATGTGACAATAGTTGTCTAACAGAGTTTCAGAACATCAATGGATCCAGAGTTGTCTTTGTTAGACAGGATGAGGAAGGGCAAACAAAAGGAAGAGGAAAATTGGTCAGAAATAATATAAGCATTGAAGATGTCTCATATGTCAGAGGATTAAAGTTCAATCTACTAAGCACTAGCCAATGCTGTGACAAAGACTATACAGTAGAATTTTTAAGAGACATTTGTTATGTCAAACATGAGACAATAAGAGAAATGGTTCTTACTGTCAACAAAAAAAGAAACACATATGTTTTTTATTGGTCTACAACAAAAGATTGTGTTCGCTTGATAGCGAAAAGAGATCCAAAGCTTT